TTATTATTATTGTTATTATTATTATTAGAGAAAATGGCACTTTTTCCCTCCAAGTTATATATTTATAGCACTTTTTCCCCCTCAATTATTTATGTAAGCACATTAGCCCCTCAATTATTTTAAAAGTGGTGGTTTCCCCCCCCCCCTCCCCCCCCCTAATATATTAAATTGACATTTCTACCCTTAAAGTAAACATTTTAATTATTTTACTTCTCCAAGATTACCACGATTCGGTTCGAACTAAACCAGACACTATAGCAATCGAATTAAAAATTTTCGGTTATGATTCAGATCTAGAATCCAATATTTGGATTTCAATTTATTATATTTAAGAATAAAAAAACTGGATCATGAACGGTTCGGCGGTCCCGGATCCGGTTCGCGATTTTGAACCGTCTTTATTTTAAAATAATCTAAATTCAACAATAAATGTATTTTATTTTTTCAGTTCGGAACATGAACCGGTCATTCTGGTTCGCAATTTTAATAAACTATAAATATCACGTTTTGATTATAAATTGTAATTGGAATATTTTGGTTTGGTTGCTATAGTATCTGTTTGGTTTGAACCAAATTATAGTAATAATTTGTTGCAGAAAAAAATAAATGAAATATTTATTTTAAGGGTAAATATGTCCATTTAACATTTCTGGGGGAAAAGAGCCACTTAAATAATTCAGGGGGAAAAAATGCTATGTATATAACTCAGGGGGGAAAAAGTGTCATTTTCCCTTCTTATTATTATTATTATTAAGAAGTTAATTCTATTTCCTTTTTCCTTTTTTTCTTTTTATTGTGGAAGAAGTGTTTGGGCAAAAATGAAAGAAGAATTTTGTTTTTAATAATAAGTATAGATAGATTATTAGCTTAGTTATCATAATAATTATTAGTCAGTTATACTAAAGGTGCGTTTGAAACCCGAAAAATGATTTCAAAATCATTTTTTGGGTGTTCAGTATAAGGCTTGAGAGGGAAATTTTCTGGCAAATCACTATTTTTTTTTTCTTTTTGAGGAAGTCATTTTCCGTTTGCAGCAGTAGAGCAGCCAATCACCCACCGCCACCCACAACCACTAAATACAGCCATAACTTATGTTGCATGAAATTTAAAATAAAAGTTGTTATATTCTAAACATAACAATAAAAATGTTTTTTTTTTGATATATAACAATTAAAATGTTTAAGTATACAATTATAATCATTTTCTTGTTCATTTTCTGAAAACGAATCAAATACACAAAAACAATTTTTTGATGAGCAGCCAAACATTGAAAAAAATATTTTCTGAAAAATAACTCATTTTCCAGAAATCATTTTCATACTTCCAAACGAACTTTAATATCTATACAATTAATTTGTTAATTGCCATAATAGTTATTGGAAAATGACATTGTTTAGATTATGTAGAATATTTGAATTTAATATCCGAAAAACATAATATTAACGATTATATTTACACATTATTGAAACCTCTTTTAAGTCAATTATTAATATTAATTCCTTTTTATAATCTACATAATGCATTATGGACACGAGTCCAAAACGACGTCATTTTCAGGGAAAACGCGGCATTCTAGTTTAAAAAAAAAAAAGATTTTGTCTCGCCGTTAACGACGTTATTCGTTTGTGGCATTATGAATGTACAGTTATGGAATTATGAATGTAAGTTATGTAATTATGAACATAGAGCTCTGACATTATGAACTTACAATTATGAACATATAGTGATAAAATTATGAACATAAAGCTCTAAAATTGTGAACATAGAGTTTCGAAAATTATGAATGTACAGTTATGGAATTATGAATGTACAGTTAGGGGATTATGAATGTAAGTTATAGAATTATGAATGTACAATTATAGAATTATGAATGTACAGTTATGGAAGTATGAATGTACAGTTATGGAATTATGAACACAGAGCTCTGGCATTATGAACATATAGTGATAAAATTATGAACATATAGTTCTACAATGAGGCGGTCTGAAAAAAAAAAAAAAAGAAGATAACGGTGCCACTAACGATGTCGTTATCATGTCTACAATACATGCTGGACACAGGTCCATAACATAACGATTGGTCTATTGATACATAAGACGGTCTCACAATAAAATCAATCTTTTATAAATTTTATTTTATATGGACGCGTGTGTCACATGTTATTAAGTGGGTCCAAATCGAACTTTTTTTTTTTTGGGAAAAGGGTCCAAATCGAACTTGGGTAGTTGCATAAGAGGAATTGGCCTCCATCTTCTTCACCTAAGATTTGCAGAGAAATCTCCGACCGTCTTGCCTTCTTCACCTAACCATCAAAAATGGCGTTGGAGTGGGTTGTGCTAGGCTACACCGCCGGAGCAGAGGCCATCATGGTGCTCCTCCTCACCCTCCCGGGTCTTAACCCGCTCCGCAAGGGCCTCGTCAGCGTCGCCCAGAGCCTCCTCAAGCCTCTATCATCCGTCGTCCCCTTCTGCTTGTTCCTGATGATGGACATCTACTACAAGTACGAGACCCGACCCACCTGTGAATCCCCCGAAGCCTGCTCTCCCGCCGAGCACCTCCGCTTCCACAAGTCTATCATCAAGTCCGAGCGCAATGCCCTCCTCATCGCCTCCGCCCTCTTCTTCTACTGGATACTATACTCCGTCACCAATCTCCTCGTCCGCACCGATGAACTCAACAATCGGATCGAGAAGATTAAGAATCAGGACTGATTAACTGCTCCATCAGGTCGGGTCGGGTCAACATGCACCCATTTTTAGTTTCCGGATCAGATAAGCCCCCCTTTTGTTGCTGCTATTTCTATATGGACTGTCCATTGTCGTCTGCGTTTTTCGCATTGCTTCACTTTCGTATTTTTGTACTATCTGTTCTCTCGATTATTACGATGTTGTACTGATATATTACGACAGTGTATTTGATTTTGGTATCTTATGCATATTTTGGATTTTTGTCTCTCTTAATGCTGTTATTTAAACATAAATTTCTGTTCGACTCTTTGATTTGCATTCAGCTTGAGAAATTCGGAATGCTTGCTTTGAAGCTTATTGCAATTAGCTATATCATAGTGTTCATGGTATCTGGGAATTCAGAGCTGAATCATCTTGCTTCCGAGGTTCTTTAAGGCATGAAAAAATAGGTTGTGGATCATGGGACATGTTCATGCCAGCAGATGTTACTAATACTACTAAATCTTCTTGTTAGATTGTGTGTTTGAGTTAATGATGCAATGAGAGCTCCCAGATGCTTGCATTATTTATGCATATTTGGTGGCTTGGCCTTTATGCATGCCTAGAACTTTAATATCTTAGGCTACTCTGTTATAGGAGTCAAAACTGGTCACTATAGCATGGTTGTTTATTCAGCTATATTCAAATGTCTCGTTGAGATTTGTTGGGCGGAGGCTGGTAAGGGCCAAGTCTAGCATTGGTGGGTGGGGGATTGTTGGATGAGACCGGGAAAGGGTGGGGGATTGTTGGATGGAGACCGGGAAAGGGTAAAGTCCTGCACCCAGCGTCTCGAAAATGTGATGGTGGTTTATGAGTAAGGTAATAAAGTCGCGCCTTCACTACTAGTTGGCAAGCACTTGATCCTAACAACTGGTATCAGAGCCAGGTCACGGTCTAGCACTCGGTGGCTGGGGGATTGTTGGGCGGAGGCTGGTAAAGAGTCAAGTCTAGTAAGGAAATAAAGTTGTGCCGCACTAGCTATAGCTTTTGACGTAAGTTGTAAGAGCTTGATCCTAACAAGATTCTTGATGACTTAAAAGGTTTTTAATTTGTGTAGAGATATTGCAATCAAGAGTGGCATAATCTGTTTTGTCTATGATAGTAACCTATGATCAGTGCAAGTGGTAAACATTTCTGATGTCCTTTTTACTCTTCAAATCATTTCTCTCAATACTGAAGTTTACTTGTTAGTTTCTTAGGCAAAAGTTCTTGTCTACGTATTGTACATCTTATTTGAGAATGGAGCCAACATGTTGTTACTACTTTCATTTTTTAATTTTGATTCTGGGTTCTAGTTCTTGTAATCTTGTGGAACTCCATAAGTGCTTTTTACATGATTCTTTTCCTTACAGCGATCAATGGTCCTTAAGTCTCGTGTACTGTTCTGTTTTGAGTTTACATAGTTGTTAATATTAGGCAGGTTTAAATTTTGATAGTATATGCTGATTTGAAAAGAGATTTGGTAGTGTCCATTGGTGCCTTTGTCATGTGATGATAAAAGGTGATAGGTTATGAGATTTTGAAAAATGTGGTTTGGTAATGTTGATGACTGTATGTCTGTATTCTATAATTTTCTTTGCTCCTAATGCAGTAAAAGTATCTTTTTGAAGATAAATCTTTGTATGTTCTGTGAAGAACTCTAGAAAAGTTTCTTAATTTGTTAAGAGTAGTGGAAGCATTTACTGTATCTGTGTAGTTTCTTTTGCATATCTAGTTCCCCTGTTTACATATTGGTTTGATGAATAATTGTCACAAAGTATTGCTCAACTCTGAGTTTGATTTCATTTGTTTGCCTTTCCTGTCATGTTTGTGTTCATTTGAAATGCGTCTTACCTATTACCAAGTTAATCCTTGAAAGGCTGCCTCATCTATTCTCATTTGGTGATATATACAAGTCTCAGTTTTACGGTTCTTATGTCACGTCTAAGCATACTCTTCTTATCTGCTGTTCTCGGTATTTATGACAGCCAATATAGTCATGCTTTTGAAGCAACAGTTCTAACCGTTCTAATCTCACCACCTCCCGAAATGGGAGCCAGTACTAAGACACTGGCAAAGTTCATCCATGTCCAGACAGGGTAAGTCTATGTTGGGGTGCTAGACCTAATTTGAAGGTAGGATTTTGCGTGTAAATGCCCAGATTGTGCTCGATAATCATATTGCTAGTATTTCAGTAGCAGAATATCTTGCATTTGCACCTAGCTTCCGATTCACACAACATACTTCATCCTTGGCTGATGTATCCATGCATCGCTTATGTACATACCATACAAATTTATGCACAAAATTTTGCAAATATCTTACTCTGATCTGTACAATATTCTTATATTTATTCATGACTCTGTTTTGTGAAGAAATAGCAAGTACTTTTTATTGATGTTGAAATAGGGGAAACAGTGTTGATGGCATATATATATATATATATATATATATATATATATATATATATATATATATATATATATATCTTCATGGCACATTATGATTCACTCATCAACCTGCAAGGGCTTAAAGTATTTTCCATCTATTAGGTAAGTGCCAATGTTGAGACGAACTGCCCATACATCTTTTGGCTTTCTTGATACTATCCTGCAAGTATTTATGTGCTTATATAAGTATTAAAAGTACATAATAAATAAAGTTATATTATGTAGAATGAAATTTAATTTGAGAGTTTGACACTCGTTTTACTATTTCAAAAAAAATTAAAAATAAGAGGTAAGGGGTGACCACCGTTTGATTCAGGTTCTTTATCTAAATTTTAGTTCTTGGTTATCATTTTTATTTAGAAAAAAAAATGGTCAAATAAGCTCTTAAACTTTATACGAGAAGCTAGTTTATTTTCTTGTATGATTGTATCAAAGCTTAGAAATTAATTATTGTAGGTCACTTAGGTTTTGGCGAACAGTCGTCAGAACATTGTTGGCAAAAAAATACGAGTAACATATTGACAAGCTTAATTACAAATTTTGGCCCCATTTGGTAAAAAAATGGTCTAAGGCCAATTTTAACTTATTTGACCACTATTAATTGTTTGATTTAGTTAAAATATCAATATAAGTGTTTGGTTAATTAACTTTTTGTAACTTCAAAATGCTAAAATTTAAAAAGTTACTTCAAATAACTTTTTCAATTAACTTTTTCAGAAAAGAAATTATACCAAATAGTTATAACTAACAGTTAATTTACCACAGCTAATGTTATCAACTAGTTATACCCTCTAATTAACACAATCAGCTAACAACTATCAAATTCAGGTGCTAAATTGACTTCTTTCAGGTTGGGTTGGAGAAATTGAAAACCATCCCATATAATTCAATTAGAAAAGAATGAAATATCCATATAATTAAGCTTAATCATATGTATATGAGAAAATACAGAAAATGGGATAAGAGGATAAGCTGAGCTGACCTGCCCACATCTCCAGGCTTGACTAAGCCAGGATTAGCCCTGAGGCAAGGCACAGAATCTGCAGTTTTCAAGTACTTGGGAGCCTCAACTACGATTATTGGAGACCCAATTTCAAGCTTTATGCTTTTTGATGGGTCTTTGTCTTTCAACTCAGACTTGGTGATTACCAAGCTCTTCTGCAACTTTGATGGGTATATTCGTTTGGGCATAGAAATTATAGAAGAAGATGGGGGAGAGAGTGCCATCACAATTCTGGCAATGTAAGATGTGAGGATGATGTGTTTGTGGTTCTTACTTCTCTATTTTCACAATTAAAACATCCCTTATGTCTTCAGCTTTAAGTTCTTCCAAACGACTTCAGTTTCCTATTTGTGAAATAGTCTGAATTAAGTTTTTTGTAATATTGTAAGGGAATTTGTTTCTGTGTCTGACTGTAAGAAATGTTTTACCATTCCATCAATCTTTATTTATTGTAAACGTTTTAGCTTATGAGTTAATGAATTAGCCTCTTTATTTTCAAAACATCTTATAAAACTATGCATTATTTACCATCACACCCACACATAAAAGGGGAGAAGATTTTCAAGATAAAAAATTGTATTTAATAGAGTTTATAACTTATTTTTAAGTTTAAAATTAATAGAAGTTTTAAAGAATAACTTATTTTGACATGCTTGTGGTATTTTAAAATTAAGTTTCTAAGTCCCGAAAAGGGTGACTGAGTGGGAGGATCGAAGTATGATTTTCATAGCACATTGCATATGATTTGTTTAGTGTGGTTTACTTATCATATGTGAATAATAATTAAGCATTTTCTTCGTCATTAATAAATAAAAGTTTATAACTTTCAACCTAATTAAAAGAATTAGGAATAACTACAACAAATAAAAGATTACATAATTTAAACAAAAATACAACATTGTAACAAAGTCAGTAGTACTAACAAAACAAAATAAAACAAAAAAAAATAATGGACCAATGCACCAAATTTGTTTATATAAATTGAAACACATTTGGGCCAAACCAATTCAAGTTTTACAAATTGAATCTAAACAATTTTAGTTGAAATGATAACATTGTAAATTCATTTCTCTCTTTCTAATCTTTTGATGTAAGACACTCCAACAGATATGGTAAGGATAATATCGTAAAATTTTCATCTAATCACATTATTAATCCTATTATATTCCTTGAGCCCAAGCCTTACCATGGACACCAAATGGAGGTGTTTAGTATTTGATAGACAATTGTTATACCATGGATTATAATCCATCTTGCATTGTCGATTCACGTGCTTGTAAATAAATTGAAAGCATATAACATAAAAGTTAACTACACACATAATAGGTACAAATACTTAATATGTTATTAAAATATCATGTGTTTATATATACCATGTTATGATGTCTTTAATTTATTTAAGGATTGATTGAATATACAGAATATGTCAACAAATACATAATTTGAAAGTTATTTTGAATCGAGATCTACAATGCAAGGTATAATCAGGTAGACCCCTTTGACCTGACCCATAGTATATTGGTATAATTTGAATATGATAGATTCGACAATTTTTTTATAAACTAATTTAACTTTAATTATTTGACTTGATAATTATTTCATTATGTAAATTGTTATAATTAACCGATTGGTAAATTATTATATGGATACTGAGTGAACCATAACAAAAAGTACATTCTTAATATACATATACAATATACTTAACAACCGATTATTGTCGTCCAATAATATCAATTTCCAAGCCTTTATAAAAGACTAAACAATATTCTTTTTCGCTAATATCATATTACAAATAAAGATTTTTTAAATATGAAAATTCCTAAGAAATGGGCAAATGAGTAGAGGGGACTACATATGAAAGAGTAAAGGCGGTGAGCACCAAAGAGGCAAAGAGGGGGGATTCATGGCGGCGCGGGCAAAACATGACCACGGTTTTTTATATTAATTGTGTATTAGTTTTTTTTTTTTTTTTTTAGGGAATACATTTTTAAAATTTTTGTTTTATAGAGTTTGTATAAAAAATTTTATTTTATTTTATAGAATTTGTATATATTATCTAAAATCAGAACCGTATGAACGATTCTAATTTTGATTCAGTTCTAACTGTGGACGGTTCAGTTTGAATCGTTCAATCCGAATCAAAATATAATCATTCCTAGGCAAATTAAAACTAATTTAAATTGATCGAGTTTGGTGTAGGAGAGGTGTTTGGGGATGATATGAAAGATGGGCACTTACTAACATGCTGTTAATACGTTATGTCGGCACTTACTACTTGCGCTTCTAAAATATATAAATTATCATTATAACCCTCCAAAATTCAAATTCACTTCCATATTCCCCTGTAACGTCATAATACAATGCAGGCCACAATAAGGTGGTGTGTTTGGTTGGAATTTTTGTATCTTATTATGAGTTTTTATTTTTGATACTTATTATTATGTCTGTTTACCTATTTTTATTATTTTATTATTGAAATCAAATCATTTACTAATTACAAAATTCATTTCCCTTAACTTTTACCCCTATACGACTATACTTTTGAACAATGAAATAAAAAATTAGAGAGAAAAAAATGAAAAAATAAAAAAATTAAAAAGGTCGTTATCCATATATATATTAAATACGAAATCTTTATATATATATGTGTGTGTGTGTGAGTATATATAAATTATTTATTTATTTATTTAGATTTCAATTCCTATTTTGCTACCAAACAAATTGATTCTTTTTACTTGAACCTATTACCGTTATTAAATATTTAATTCATATTATCATTCCGATTTCAATGTTTGAACGTAACCAAACACACCCTAAATATTTGCTAATTCTCTTTATTTTATAAACACGTCAATCTAATAATTATATTACATTTTTACCAAATACCTGATAACTTGACTATATATCTTTATTTTATACTAGATATTTTTATGTACAATGTGCGAAAGTTGAGCCCAATACTAAAATTTGTTAAAAAGAGTTAATTCCAACAGATGTCTTTGGTAGCAATTCTAAGTTTAATTGTAAATTATCATTTTTATCATTTAACATCTTAGATTATCATATTTTGGACACTTTTGATTATTCCGATGATTTTTTTTTCCAGTGAAACTCTATTTAAGGTAAGAGTAATTTAGTCTCTTTAATTTTTATTTTTCCAATGAGTTAGTTCTAGCGAATGTCATTTTGCAACGCAGTTGGAAAGCTCTGAATGTCGCCATTTGGTCGACTTTAGTCTAACCGATATGGTTTTAATTCATGATTATGTGAATCATGGACTATAGTTGTAGAGCCGAAAAAAAAAAAAAAAGGAATAAAAGAAAGAAGCCTCTTCTTTGTCATCGGAAAATACCCTTTTTCTAAAATATGATTTCACTACTCAAAAAAAAAAAAAAAAAAAAAATCATCGGAAGGACCAAAAATGTCCAAAATATAATAGTTTGGATTATTATATATATGACAAAAACGATTATCTAGGACTAAATTTAGAAATACCATCAAAGACTAGAGACCTCCGATGGAATTAACTCATAGGGAAAATAATTAACAAAATTGAAGAGACGAAAATACCTTTACCTAAAATAGAGTTTCACTGAGAAAGTTATCAAAAGGACCAAAAGTGTCCAAAATATGATAATATGTAGTGTTAAATGATAAAAATAATAGTATGTGACTAAATTTGAAATTGTCATCAAACACAAGAGACTTCTGGAATTAACTCCTATTAAAATTATTAAAGTGAAATAAACATATTTATTAATAAAAATAAATTTTAAAAATCATTTTTAGCCTATCAAAGTTATAGTGTTATAAATGTGAAAATTCTATATTTTGAGAAGCTAGAGATCTTTATAATTATTATCACTTCCAAGCTATTAGTCACTCGGGTCTTTTTATTTTATTTTATTTTATTTCTATTGAAAACGTAGATTTCGTATTAAATCATTTGGTATTAGTCAATTCACCTGTAATCTACGAAAATAAATAGTGTTCATTTTAAAATCTAAGAATAGCTAATAGCGTGTGGTTATTGTAAGAGTGAGAATCATTTTTCTTTGAAAAAAAAAATACAATTGGGTGAATATCATAAATTAATTATTTTCATATTATTGTTTATTGTGGAAAGAGGATAGTGATTCAAGTATGTGAGTCAATAATTTGAAATAAAATTAACATATAATGACGAATACATATTTTATTATATTATTAGTTAGATTGCTGTAATATTTACTTTAATTAGTTTTAATTTTCTTAATAAAATTATCAATAAATGTTCTTTAATTTGTATTAACAGGAGACTAACAAGTTATAATATAATGAATGCAATTTTGTCACATTAAAATGTAATGTACAATATATTTTAAACTTCATGTGCTATCTATTATTATAGTACTAAAAATACAAACAAAAACCATGAATATAACATAAATGTACACATATAATGTCTTTAATTTTAAATTATAAATTAAATTCTGAAACAATTGCCACCGAGGTATAGACTATGTATTGGTAAAAAGATGACGAATTGGAACACTACCTGGCAGAATTACGAGCAAGAGTTCAAGCCCTAACTTGAGTAATAGACTCCTTTAAATCGGAGACGGCAATTACGTGTAACATTCAGATCCTACTCCACTAGTGTACATCTCGGGAGCCTTAATATCTTTAAAAAAATAAGTCCCAAACAATTATATAAGTAATGAATTTGGTCTAACGTACACATGCAAGCTAAGAACAGCGAAGAAACCGTGAGGAATGAGTAGTGGGAAAGAAGAAATCTGATATCTTGGTTTCCCAAGCTGTCATATGCTGGATGGCTTTCCTATGTCCTACGTTTTCACAAAACAAATTACGGATCGGAGAATATATATGTATATAAAATAATGCAACACGGTGCCAATAGTAATCAATACTCACCCATCCCTATTTTAAAATTCATTAATTCCAGCTCCATAATTTTCTACATTTTATTACAATTTTTAAAGATTTTTAATTCATCAAATTAAATTAAATGATCCCACAGTTGCTGGGATATGACCAGTACTTTTTCAAAGTTGCTCCTACTTTCTGACAAGTTTTAAAGTTTTTTAATTGTCTACCTATGGATCGATACTGACAATTTTCAATTTGAGTGATAAACATATAATTATTAATGTGCAATTTAATTATTAGTTTTGACTTTTAGTTGGGATGAAGCACATGTTTCAATTTTAAGAGCAAAATTTTATAACAGAAAACATTTATTATGAAAATTAATACATTTTTTTTTATTTTAGTACAACCTCCCACATAAAGAAGTAACTTGGTGTCACAAGACTACAAGGTCTTGGAAATACATTCTGTTTTTAAATTATAGGGAAGTAATATTTTTTGTCTTTCAATTATATTGTAGCTATTTTAATTAATCTTAATAAAACTTATGAATACAAAAATCATGTTGCAAACAATTGATACACGAAAATAGCAACGAATATATATATATATATATATTTTATTTTTTGGAATGAAGTAGCAACGAATATAATTGAGGAATAAAATTATTATTATTATTATTATTATTATTATTATTATTATTATTTATTAAATTCACACTATTATTACAATTGAAGGACCCGTATTATTTTAACAAACAAACAAATGAAGAACATCACATGTGGACTCAACAACGTAAAAGAAGATGTAATAAATGGACAACATTAGACATGATTTGTTGTTCAGCAAAAACTAGCCGTTATTGGTTTTTTTTTTCGGCTGGTTTCTTAAAACGGCTAGCCAGAATTTATCGAGTTCTACTCAGTATTTTTATGTTATTCCTACAAATTCAGTAATAATAATAATAGGGAAAATGACACTTTTTACCCCTGAGTTATATACTTATAGCACTTTTTCCCCCTCAATTATTTAGGTAAGCGCATTAGCCCCCTTAATTATTCTAAAAGTGGTGTTTTTTTCCCCCTGATATATTAAATTGACATTTATACCCTTAAAGTAAACATTTTATTTATTTTACAACAACAAATTATTGCATATACGTAGGGATGACCACGGTTCGATTTGAATTGAACCAGATACTAAAGCAATCGAATTAATAGTTTACGGTTATAATTCAGATCTAGAACCCAATATTTAAATGTCAATTTATTAAAATTATGTATCAAAAAAATTGAATCTTAAACCGTGAACCGGCGGTTCCGAATCTGATTCGCGGTTTTGAACTGTCTTTATTTTAAAATTTTATTTTTTATTTTAAAATAGTCTAAATTCAACAATAAATGTATTATATTTTTTCAGTTCGGAACATGAACCGTCCATTTCCGTTCACGATTTTAATAAACTCTAAATATCGAATTTCGATTCTAAATTGTAATTGGAATATTTCGGTTTGGTTGCTATAGTGTTTGTTTAGTTTGAACCAAACTATGGTCATAATTTGTTGGAGAAAAAAATAAATTAAATATTTAATTTAAGGGTAAATATGTCCATTTAACATTTCAGGGAGAAAAACAATCACTTCAATAATTTAGGGGGAAAAAATGCTATAGGTATATAACTCAGGGGGAAAAAAGTGCCATTTTCCCAATAATAATAATAATAATAATAATAATAATAATAATCTAAAAATGTAATATATGCCATCCATGTTATGTCCCTAATTTTGTCACTTTTTTTGTGTGCTAATTTACTTTAAATGTTAAACATTTCATTTTATTTGACAAAATTATCTTTATTACATTTTTGTTAAATAAAACAACTATTACGGCGTTATAACTTCGTTATTATTTAATAACTCCATCACTGTTACGGTATTATCACATGCATATATTTATTATTTTTTTTCTATTTTTAATTATCATTTTATTAAAACTATCATATAACAATTCTTGAGAAAATAATATTTTCGCCCCCTAAATTATTTAACTTTTAAAAATTTGCTATATGTTAATTAATTTAATCAGATTTAGTCCCTTAATTATTCATCATGTTGCACTTCTCTGATGTCATATAATGATCAAACACCGTGAGCAAACTCTTTTTATGAGGTTATTTTTGTCATTTATAATCAATATCCATTGTCAAAGTTTCATTCTCTTCATGTGAACGCCATTTTTAATCGTGAATAATGATGTTAACAGAATTTGATAATTATATATATAACATTAAAGACTAAAAGTGCAACAGTGAAACAATTCAGAGATTAAAGGTGTTGTTTTCCGATCCCTTAATTTAATTATAAATTATATTTTAATTAAATATATATGACTGTTAAATCATATATGTATATAATAAATATAGTATTTATGTATATATCTACTATCTACTATACTAATAAGAGCCCAAGAAAGTTAGGCCTATAATGGATAGAAAAAATGGTGGTCAAATTTTTTAATCAAATGAATGGCTCAGATTGATTAGATTTTAATTTTTCCTTAAGATTTCTTAATTTATCCTTAATGAATATGATTATCCGTTAACTTTTCCGTTAAATATTATCTTTTCCGTTAATTTCTGTTAGTTCACCGTTAACTTATCCATTGATTTCAATAAGAAAGGTCTTAGGTTCGAACTTCATCCCAATCAAAGTTGGCATAATTAGTACTCTATTTTACTCTTATTAAATTAAATAAATAATAACTTAGTAGCTATAACAAAAAATAATACATATGCATTTCTGTAATTTAGAATTATGTGTCTACAATGCTTTATTCAAAAAAAAAAATTATTCATTATCAATAAATTAAATAAGAAAAATAATTTCATTAGTTATATTGTATTTGTTTTTCTCCAATAAAATTATTCATTATCAATAAATTAATTAAGAGAAATAATTTTATTAGTTATATTGTCTTTATATTTCTCGTAAAAATTCTTTACATTCAAATTTATCAATTGATTGTATTCATTACATTGTCTATTATATTTTTTGTGCACTATTTTTTAATTAAATATCAAAGTTATAATACAAAATAATGCTATATATTTATTTACCAAGTATTTTATTAATACCATGAAAAAATTTAAAAAATATATAATTAATAAAGTCAATTATTATTAACTACTTGAGGGATTTGTTGACAAAGAGAATATTCAAATCATACAACAAATTGAAGTGAGAACTACCTCGCAATGTCCTTGTTTGACAATCAGCAGTTAGCGATTAGCGTTTGCGGATTATATTAGCACATTTGACCAACGAATTATATCAACGGTTGGTAAAATGATATTTGAAAAAAATTAACTGTTTATATTAACATGTAAAATGACATAAGGGTATACATAATAATAATAATAATAATAATAATAATAATAATAATAATAATAATAATAATAATAATAATAATAATAATAATAATAATAATAATAATAATAATAATAATCGTTTTTAAAAAATACAAAATATAATTAAACCAATCATATTAACTACTTGGGAGATTTATTGACAAAAACAGTATTCAAATCACACAACAATTTGAAGTGGGAAACTTTCTCGCAATGTCCTTGTTTGACAATCAGCAGTTAACTCTTCAATATTAGTATATTTTTAATATTTTATGTCCTAATTTTTATTTACCCTCCCTTATGTCCCGGCCCGTATTTGGTTTCAATCATACCTATACAATTATTTTATTGACAATTATAATCAATCTTGACTATATTATCTAGCATTTGTAAACTTAGAATTGCCTATTTAAATACGCAAATTTAACATTCAATTATCTATGCATGAACAATTCTAATATAATCTTGTCTTAATATACTTTAAAGTACTTATTTAAAAAAAAACATTCGATATTATCTCAATCGCACAATGCGCGTAAAAAAAATTAGTACTAATATATGGGTGTTAGCATATTAAACAAAAAATAAATCCCCCTCTCTTTCTCTCTCTCTCTATATTATTCAAATATGATAATCAAAATTTATCACTTTAAAGAATTGTGAAATATAATTTAAATTATTTTTATTTAGTAATATTTTTAGATAAAACATAGATTCTCCTGCATCGCATGTATAACAATAACAATAACAATAACAACAACACTCATCACTCTCATATAGAAGAGAAAACCATAACCGACAGCATAGGAAATAATTCTTAACAAAAGGAAAAATTGTACTCACAATATTATTGTCACGGCTTGCCGACATTTTCTATGTAAAGTCGTTGGCTCCATCGATGGAAGCATGTAACTACGGCTGTTCAGCATAATTCCATTTATTACACACTACAATTCAGAATAAATCATATACATGCATTCCCCTCTTTAAAAAACCATTTTAAATGCTATATTTGTTCCATAATTATTTGTCATAGTAAATAAATTGGAAAGTATAATTTTGCAGGGATTAACATACACTATAACAGATGATTGGTTGGTTAACCGGCACAATGATTGAACAGGAATGAGTTTACATCCAACAAATATTATTTGTCCAAATGGAATCAAACGCCTTTAATGCGTCACCATATCTCCCTGCCAGCCTGTATCATATCATATTACTCTTTCTCATTTGTATTAATACTTTTTAATCATGTTTTTTTTTTTTTTTTTTTTTTTTTTTTTTTTTAAATTCATCTAAGCAATACTATATTAAAACTGAAAATTTGGATAAAATATCTAAACCAAGGGCCCACACCTCGACTCGATAGAACATTTGGGAAGATGTATGTAAATTACGTGACTCAATGACTCATCACACATGGTCAAATGTCGGTGCGCACAAGGATCTGTCTACTTTGGACATAATTCTCACACTGCAATCGTCGAAGTTTAAATCTTGATCTTTTCTTCCAAATACGGTCTATTAAACCATTGAGTTAAACCCGAATAGTCACAGAATTGGAGTAGTGGGTTAGTAGCGGTGGATTTCTTTGGGTACTTAACAAAAAAAAAAATTAGATTAAATTTTTAAAATGGTTAAAGTTTTTTCCAAATAATTCATATACATATACGGAGAATTATTGTTTAAAATTGAGATTTTTTAATCCCCATTTGTTATGATTTGGTCGATAAACACTTCACTTTTCTATCCCAATTTAGAAGTCCTTTACCGTCCTTGGCATTTGGCAACTCGCAACTCTCTCTCTCTCTCTCTTTTATCTCTGACTGAAATGAATATCAATACTGACAAGAAGAAGAAGAACAAGAACATGAATCCCACTTTGTAGCAGTCCATAATTCCAGAAAGATTAGTGGCCGAGGAGTTTGGACTGCTATAGATTTCTGGAAAACTGACAAAGTTACAATCTTTTCTGTTTTCTTCTCATCGTTTTCACCAAAAACTACAATGAGATCTCGCTTCTTCTTCTTCTTCTACTTCGCCACCTGCATTTCCATCTTCCTCTTCATTCTACCGTCCCCCGCCGCCTCTGATCTCGCCTCCGACCGCGCCGCCCTCTTGGCGCTCCGATCAGCCGTGGGCGGCCGCTCTCTCCTTTGGAACCTTACGGAACCGAACATATGTTTGTGGCCGGGAGTCCAGTGCTCCTCCGACAAGAAATATGTCGCCGAGCTTCACCTTCCGGGGATGGGTCTCTCCGGGGCTATTCCGCCCGGAACCATTTCTAACCTCACGCGCCTCCAGACTTTGAGTCTGCGTTACAATGCTCTGTCGGGTCTGCTTCCTTCCGACCTCTTCTCCTCTCTCCGGGATCTCCGGAACGTGTACCTCCAGCACAACTTCTTCTCCGGCGATATTCCCGACGGTGTCTTCTCATTGCCCAACCTTGTTCGCCTCAATCTTGCCCACAATAACTTCTCCGGTTCGATTTCCCCTTCCGTCAACAATCTGACGCGCTTGGCCACGCTGTACTTGGAGGAGAATCAGTTTTCCGGGGAAATTCCGGACGTGAAAGTGCCCGGATTGATCCAGTTCAATGTTTCCGGCAATCTTCTGACTGGACAGATTCCGCAAAAGCTCTCGACTCAGCCCAGGAGTGCGTTTCAGGGGAATTCTCTGTGCGGAGCGCCACTTGATCTTTGCGATGGGCAGCAAACAAAGAGTAAAAAGAAGCTTTCCGGTGGGGCTATCGCCGGAATTGTAGTCGGCAGCGTCATTGGGTTGCTTTTGATTCTTCTTTTATTGTTCTGTTTGTGCCGCAAAAGGGGTGAAAAAGAAGTCAGATCGAGTAATGATGCAGCGGGAATTAAGCAGACGGAGATCGAGATTCCGCCGGAAAAGGATGTAATGGCCGGCGGCGGAGCCGCCGCCGCATTGGGCGCGAAAGAGAAGGAGGTGGTCAAGGCGGAGGTCAACGGCAGCGGAGGCGCCGGAGGGAAGAGCTTGGTGTTCTTTGCAAAAGCCCCAGGGAGGAACTATGACTTAGATGACCTTTTGAAAGCCTCTGCTGAAGTATTGGGAAAGGGCACTTTCGGAACTGCCTATAAGGCCGTTCTTGACGCCGGAATCACCCTGGTGGTGAAGCGCCTCCGGGATGTCACCGTGCCGGAAAAGGAGTTCAGAGAGAAGATTGAAGAGGTGGGGAAGATGAACCATGCCAATCTGGTTCCTCTCAGAGCTTACTACTATAGCCGCGACGAAAAGCTCCTTGTATATGATTACATCACAATGGGAAGCTTATCCGCACTTTTACATGGTATAATTCTACCAGACTAGACCAATACAAACTACTAACAGACTAAGTTTTTTAACACATTTCAATTAATATATTATTCTGCCATTTTTATTGTATAGGTAATAAAGGAGCAAGCAGGACGCCATTGAACTGGGAAACAAGAACCTCAATAGCCCTAGGGGCTGCCCGGGGGATCTCCCACCTCCACTCACAAGGCCAATCCATTTCCCACGGCAACATTAAATCATCAAACATTCTCCTAACCAAATCCTATGATGCCCGTGTCTCCGATTTCGGTCTTGCCCAGCTTGTTGGCCCGTCCTCGACTCCAACGCGGGTGGACGGTTACCGGGCACCCGAGGTAACCGATCCTCGGAAGGTGTCCCAGAAAGCGGATGTTTATAGTTTCGGAGTTCTGCTGTTGGAATTGCTGACCGGGAAAGCACCCACCCACGCCCTATCTAACGAGGAGGGCGTGGACCTGCCGAGGTGGGTGCAGTCGGTGGTCCGGGAGGAGTGGACGTCGGAGGTTTTCGATCTGGAACTGCTGAGGTACCAGAATGTTGTTGAAGAGGATATGGTTCAGCTGTTGCAGCTTGCTGTCAACTGTACTGCCCAGTACCCCGACAAGCGCCCTTCAATGGCGGAAATTACCGCCAGAATTGAAGACCTATGTCGTCCTGGTTTCCAGGACAACAACATAGTTGACAACCCAGAAGAGTAAAAGGTTGCGAAATTAAAACGTATGATTCAAGTTCCACTTTTTTTTAAAAAAAACATTTCCTTTTGTTTTCTGGTTTGAATTCTTCGATCATTTGTCAATTTTATAAGCATCATCTTTCTCTTTTTTTTTTTCCGCGGCTATTGATCAACAAATTAAGGTTCTTGGAGATCTGTAGTTTTTAGTTTTTGGTGTATGTGTGGAATGTAAAATATAGTATTGTCGTCGATCGAGCTGTTCTTGTTGGGCACATGGCGGCCTTGTAATTACATATTCTTTCTTTCGTAATTGATTTAATCACGTACAGCTGTGCCATGTGAGTTTATTCTGTGATCTTTGCTGTCAACGTTTTTTAATGTTCATGAATCTTGCGATTTACAGTTGATGAATCATTAAAAGATGTTAAATCTGATTGGTTGGTATGTGTTCTTATGATCCCAGATTTAAGCAACTCATTTATAGCAATTCAAGTTGTCTGCAAATACATATATACGGCTCAACGTGGTTTGCAATTGCAGTGGCTTTGACTATCCCACTCACGTCTCCTTCATTCTAACCTAATTTTCTCATCTTTTCCTTAAAAGAATGATCTTTACCTACATTTCTTGCCTTTTAACCTCTCTCATTTGTTTACTGTGTTGGGCGGAATCTGATAGAGGGGCAAGTCCAGTAATTGACGGTTAAAGAGATTGTTGAGCGGAGGCCGGTGAAGGATTAATTCTAGCATTCTGCCTCCTGAAAATAAGTGTACTTTCGTTGTGAGCTATAACTTTTGGCGTAGTGACCTGTTCGAGTCCCAATTGAGAGGAGAAATTGTTGGACGGGTAGAGGCCAGTAAAGGGCCAAATGCAGAAAAAAGGGATTGTTAAAACATACTAAAACGGGTGACAGGATAATTGGGCAAGGCGTATTACTCGATCCGGAGAGCTGACTCGAGGACACCAAGGGACACGTAACGACTGCAACACACTTAAGAGGAGGCAACTGCCACTATACGCAACACTTAATGTAGGCTTGCCATTACTAGAAGTCCGTTACACTCATCAAAGGAGCTGTTGCACCTGTAGTATAAATAGTGGACCCTGTAATAAACATGGATGCATTTTGATTCTTGTACTCACACATAGCATTATAGCAATACAACTCTATTTCTTTCTCGATATATTTGCTAACCTTATTTACCGTAAGTAATGCTAAATTGTTGTACTCAGACAACACATAAAATTCGTCAAACTGTAAAATGCAAAAATTCCTTCAACCTAGTTTCAGAATATCAACACCAGAGAGTTAGTGAAATGTTGATTCGGATGAAAGTTAATTAGTATTAAATTCTTCTTGGTTGTTTATATGGAGGGTGTTGTAAGATTGATGAGTTTAGTTTGCATTTGTCAACATCGAATAATGTCGGATACAATGATATATGATGATGATAATCATCATTACCTGCTAGCTTCTGGAATATGATTATAACAACTTAATTAAAGATGGAATTGGAATGATGATGATAATGATGAATGTGAAGTGAAATTAATTAACCATCTTGAAAGCAAGCAGTTTCCTTGTCAAGAAAAAAAAAACAACAGAAGCAGTTCCAACATCGCTTTCTGTTCCAGGTTTTGTCCGATAATTGAAGCAAGCTAGCTACGATAGTACTACCATAAGTCACGGCGGTGTGCAGACGTGTCAGTATGACTTGTTTGTCGTAGCAAAATTGGAGTGATACTTCATACTTTGTATTTGTGATTTTGATTTTCTTTACAGACTCTCTTTTATTTAAAAACGATAATGACTATCTTTTATTTCTTTATTTTTGAAAAGATAAGATCCTCTTACTTTTGTGACAATTATGACTATCTTCTATACTTTTTCGAGCAATTACATTTGTCTTGAAAAAAAATAGAAAGAATGAATGAAATGTGAAAACTTAGTCAATGTAATGGTTGTCTAGTTCAATTTATACGTCAAGCTAAATTACTGTCACATTTGAAAAATGTGTATACAGAATAGGTAGTATTTGTACTCAATTACTTGCTCAACTTAAAAGCTTATTTTACACTTTTTTTTTTTCTTTCTTATTTTTAGTATGTACAAAGTTAGACAAACATTTTAATATTTAACGAGTTAGGCAGGGGTGGAGGTACGTTACGGGTAGGGGGGCATGACCCCCACCCTTACCTCCACCATCAATTTTTTTTTTTTTTATTAAATATGTATGTATATATTAATATAATAGAAATAAAATACAATTTTATATTGGCTCCCCTCCAATTTTTTTAAAAGCCATTATATTTATATTAAATGAACTCAAAATATATATTAAAGTTCAAATTTATTAAATAAATCAAATAATTAAAGTCATCATTTTTTTATTATCTTATTTCTTTTATCAAGATTTTAATAATGGAGGCCATCGATTATCCATTTTAATTTCAAAAATCTCTAAATTTGAGATATACGCTTTAGTTTTATTATTTACGTCGATTAATTAATCAGTGATTTATTGTGTGTTTTAATGATTTATTTACACTTTTAAGATGTACATTTTCTAATTTAAATGATTAGTTTTGAAATTGATAAAAATTAATATTAATTCTTTCATTTGTGATCTTTTTTTTCGCCTTCGTCTCTCTTTTTTGAAGAGTTGAAATGTATTTAGTTAATTAGTAAAATGGATCGGATATCAGTTAATTATGAAAAAAATTGGTGACAAAACTTTTTATTTGATAAAAGTGACAATCTATATTTAAATAAATGTTGTTGTTGTTGTTATTATTATTATTATTATTATTATTATTATTATTATTATTATTACTATTATGTGAAAAATATTAAATTAATGATCGACACCCGTGTCAATCGCACTCATATAATATGTATTTCATACTTTATTACATAGAGTATAATTAGAAATCTTTATCAATAATAATCACAATAATGTACGCTATATATAATGATATTGTACAGTTAGTTTAAATGTCGACTAATATGATAAATTTTCTTTCACAATATGAGCCCAAAAACGAGTTTACTCGAGTTTTCTGGCTCTGTTTCTGGAATTAGGTAAATATTCAGGGGAAAAATACTTCATGGACTCCTAAAATCTTATTTTCAATTTTTACTCTCATTTGTGTTCACATTTGATTGGAAGAAGAAAAAAAGGAATTGATAAACATCATGATCCCCTATTAAATTAAGCAATCGAAGTATGTCATGTCATAGAGAGTAAAAATTGGGAGTCCATGCAGAATTACATTATTCCGAGTTAGGCGACACTACAACATTGTTGTTATAACGTGTGATAGTAAAAGTTTGAACAAATGCCATGATATTAATTTGGGTATGATATGATGGCGGCTTCCAAAAGTGGGATTTGATGCACTAAACTTTTGGTAGATGTTTTAACTGAAGCATCATAATTAGTTGCTTTGTATGTTATTTGTGGGTTTTATTGGTGAACTGATGATGGGAATCCAACAGAATGGAAAGTGATAACGGGTACTTTTATTATTAACTGAAATTATTGTCAAAATATTTGGTTTATCATGTCTCGAATAATTTTTATATTTTTCTTTATTTCCTTGTGTAGTTCTTTCTTTCCTGATGTTGGTATATATCCTATTATATATATATATATATATATATATATATATATATATAAGAAGTGGAATTTAGCCCGTCAGCCTATGCCTAGTTAGGTTGCGCTGAAATTCTCAACTCGATTTCTAAACAGGTCGAGCTTTCTCAAATCATGACGGGACAGCCCAGCCAAATGCTAACTTATTTTGACAAGTCTAATTAAAAGACCAATCCTAATCAATTTAGTTGGACAATTGACTTACTATGTGTCGTTCCAAATGTGACTTTGTTTAGGTCATTTGCCTGATATGGTTACAAAACGCTCGCTCTTCACCTAAAGTATATATTTAAATAGCAACTACAGAGATTCCCGTAAAATAAAATATTGAAAGAATTCGACAATAACCTCATATTTTATTGTATAGTAGGTGTTCTAACACGTACAACTCTCTTTTAGTTATTGATTTGGTCTAAGTTTAGTAATAGATCAACACATTACACATTCATCCCTTCTTTCTACGTTGAATTGTGGATTACTTCTAAAATAGTGAATTATGCTGTGCAATCGAATGCACCATGCGCATGGTGCATACGATGCAAAACGACGTCGTTTTGGTTAAAAAACGCGCGTCCCACTTAAAAAAAGAAATCAGGTTCGATTCCCGGCAATAGCATTTTATATATCCATAAATTTATAACTATATATCCACAAATTCATAACTATATATCCACAGTGAATGAATGAAGTAAAAATCCACAATGAATGAACTAAATATCCCCAATGAATGAACTAAATATCCACAATGATTAAACTAAATATCCACAATGAATGAACTAAATATCCATAAATTCATAACTATATATATATCCAGAAATTCATAACTATATATCCATAAATTCATAACTATATATCCACAGTGAATGGATGAAGTAGATATTTACAATGAATGAACTAAATATCCACAATGAATGAACTAAATATCAATAAATTCATAACTATATATCCAGAAATTCATAACTATATATCCACAATAATGCTATTGTCGAGAATCAAACCTGATTTTTTTTTAAGTGGGACGCGCGTTTTTAATCAAAACAACGTCGTTTTGCATCGTATGCACCATGCGCATGGTGCATTCGGTTGCACAGCATAACTATTGATTGATTATAGTTTGGGCTAAATATGAAATAATGTATCCCTTACCCGTATGCCAGTTGGGTATCCAATGTTCCATTTTGACCCATCCCATCTTCCGCGTACAATTGCCCGTTCAATGTATTTCTCCGCTTTTTTTGTGTCTGATTGGTGGATTGATAAATGGTAACATTTGACCTAAACCATCTCACAGATAAAAATCCGTGAAACAGGTCTCACACAAATTTTTACCTTTTAAATTAAGCCATGCTATGCACGTTTATTTTTATCAGTTACGTTATTACAAACAATCACTCCCTATCATATAAGATTATAAATTATTGTCAATGGTAATTGGTAAATGTGTTTAACAATTTTCTTGAAATTAATCAGCTAGGTTAGTGTGAATAGTCATACACTCTCATCACTTAAGAGAGGTTGAGTGTTCAAACCATCCTTTCTATATGGAATGAATAATATGACCAACACTTTATTCATTAATTGGAGTGATCCAGTACAAATATAAATTAGTCTAAATATAATACTAACTTACTCAAGACAATTCGTGATTTTAAAAAATATTTTTCTTAAAATTAGATAAAATTATACAGTATTTATATTTGGCAAGGATGAAGTGGCGGTGGGGGTCTTGTTAGGCCGACGGTGGTGGCCAATGGCTGATGGAGTTTGGTGTGAAGATAATCTTTGAAACGTTAGTTTTGGACCAAATTTGGTTTGTGGGCCTGGATATGGTCATGTGCCTGTTTGGCCGCAAATTAAACATGTTCACTATGCGCATACTAAATATAAGGGTAGATTCATAATTTCTATACTGTAGATTCATAATTTTGTTTCTCATTTATTGTTAACGACGTTTCTCTCTTCGCAATTACATTATTTCGTCTTCGCAGTACAGATATTATGAATCTACAGTACAGAAATTATGAATCTACAATATTTTTTTTGAAAGCTAAATAAATCAGATTGCATTAAACTGTAGACGAAACAAAGGAAGGAAGATAGTCCCTCCAGACCCAAAGATGGATTTATGTCGTGTTCACCATACACATGGTGAACACAGCTCCACAGCATAACTATTGCTGTTTGGCTGGTTTTTTGTTTGGATTATTTAAATTAGATAATTTTAGAAATAATCAGTCATACTGTGATTCTTGATTTATATCGTAATATAAAATTTTAATAGATATTAATTTTTTGTATGGACTCATATTTAGTGATATATTTTGACGTATAATACACTAAAAATAATTATATATTAAAATATAATAAATTTATTAAAAATAAATTTACAATATATTAAAAATAAATATATATCAGAGTCTACAATATATTAAAAATAAATATATATTAGAGTCTACATTTAAAATTCAACCAGGCCCCGACATAAGTTGAGAGTTGAGATGATATGATATGCATTCGAGTGGACTGATTTTTAAATTGAACGAATAAGAAATCAGAGTTTTTAAAAAATGTAAATATTATATTAAATGTGGAATCAAACTAATTAATGGAATGAATTGAATTTCGTGGGGTTAATTGGATTATACACCGCCTGCTCGAGGATAGGGTGAGAGGGGTTATTAGAGGACCACGTGGCTTCAAATTTTGCAAAGATGTTGGCCACATGCTTATCCAATTAAATGATGCTAAGGATGAAACGTTATTGTCCCCAATCCTATGCGACTATGCGTCGTTTGAACACGGAAAACATTAAACATGTGCGCTCATCTTTGGGTCTACACTTTTGCTTTTACCTCAGCCCAAATAGCTAACATTAATCTCCGCTAACACCGCATAAACAAGCTTGATTGGCATGAATGGCTGTACACTTTTGTCTCTTAAGAAAGGTTGGAAGTTCGAACCTCCTCTCGTATGAAAAAATTAATTTGACCCCAATCTAAGTATGGTTCGAGCTTAAAAGTACCTCTTGGGATCTTGACAAAAAAAAAAAAAAACATGGTATATATTCTATAACAATGGAGTAATTGTGCCTCTTGGGACCTTGACACAAAAAAAAAAACATGGTACATATTCAGGAACATTACGTTAAGAGCAGTGTTTAGGAACATTACGTTAAGGGGGCGTTTGGTTCAGGTTATATTACATAACCAAGGGAATGTGACATTCCCGAGCTTACATTCTTGTGTTTGGTTCATATTCTCGGAGGGAATATAACATTCCCAGGGAATGAAACATTCCCTCCACATAGGATTTTGAAGGGAATGTGATTCCCTTCATTTTCTAAGGTTATGTAAGATAACCTTGGATATTTATAAATTTTGTCATTTTAATTCTATATAGTATAATATCCTTAACATATTTACATATATATATATATATATATATATATATATATATATATATATATATATATATATATATATAAGATAACCCTAAACCAAACATGATTATATTACATACCTCAATTTTAACCAAACACATGAATCTAACATTCCCAGCAATCTAACATTCCCTAAGGTAATCTAACATTCCGTGAACCAAACGGCCCCTAAGAGCAATAGCAATTTCCCACTCCACAAGGTTAATATAGTGCTACGATTACGTAAACGTAGGTAGAATCAAACTTTTTTTTTTTTTTTTTTTGACAAAAACCTCCAAAAAATTTATTATAATAACGAAGCAATACAAGAAGGAAAAGTAGAAATTCAACAACGCGGATCAGTATGCGAACGAGCCGCCCTAGCTAACGTAGGTAGAATCAAACTTGTTTTTGCTCAGACAAGAAAACATTGGCTCACAAAGAAGAGGATGTGAGGAAGATTGTGTTAGAATGGGCTTAAGAGATATGCTATGGATGAACAAAACACTCCTTTATATTCTAAAGCTAGCATCTATGGATGGAATTCTCCAACCACATTAATCCACAAGTCATGTTGCTTCTCTCATTTCAAATGCAACAACAACAAAAATCAAAGGTAAATTTCGACTATAATTTCTCTAATAATATAATCTCCCACAAATTATTAATTGAAATTTGAAAGTTTGATTCACTTGTTCACTAGAAATGATACTTTTAATGTTACTGTTGAAAAATTTGAACTAACACATAGTGACATTGTGTAACTATCTCTTAGAGAGTGAGATATCTCTTGAACTATCCGACATATAAGTTTTGAACTTGACGTGCCATGCACCTCTGAAAGTTGTAGGTTTTGTGAAAGTCAATACCTCTTTTGACTTTTTTTTTTTTAACTTTAAATTACTCATATATGCTCTAGAAAGACGTACTCTATGTCCTCCATAGAAGATCAATGTTGCCTTCACACCCAAGTATTATAGGTGACTAGATCAAGTTTGTCTCAACACATACCACCTCTAGCGGTTATCAAGTCATTAAGAACATTATGTTCACCCTCACCGTTGGTTCAGTTTTACAAATACGAGTAAATTTAGTACTTGTTTGAGTTTTTCCATGACTTCATTTGACCACAAAAGTGGTATGTATCTATTATGAATTCCTCACCTCAAAGGGTTTCAAACCCATTTCCCTTGACATATCAGATATTGACTATTTAGACCTTTTGTGAAATGATCAACAACATTCCTTTCAGATTTTACATTTTCCATTCTGATCACCCCATTCACAATTAATTGTTTTACAGACTCATATCTCACTCGTATATGTCTCTTTTCCCATTATAGACTATGTTTTTCGCAATGCAAATGGTAGCTTGTGAATCATAATGCATAGGTACAAAAGGTGCTAGATACCCCATAAAGGTACATTTGCTAATAAATTTAGTTAACCACTCAACCTCATATCCTACTAGGTCCGATTCAGAGCTATATATGAATTCCACCTTCATACTTAACCTAGCTATGCACGATTTCTTGGTTAATTTCTATGTAATACCATCTAAGCCCATAGTTTAAACATATCCACTAGTAGATCTTACCTCATCATTGTCATTGACCTAGTATGTGTAACAATATAATGCCCTTCTAACACGGAGGGAAATTCTTCATAGTGAAGGTTTTAATCTATAATACCTTTAACATGTGATCTCCCATTTGAAAGAGTCACAGAAGTGTCATTGAGCTACAAGCTACTTAATTAGCTAAGAGTTGTTGTTGTAATTGTTATCGTTGTTGTTGTTGTTGTTGTTGTTGTTATTATTATTATTATTATTATTATTATTATTATTATTATTATTATTATTATTATTAAACCATTGATGCATCAACCCTAGATATGTATATTGAATATTATAAAATGTCTATTCAAATTTTTACTATATTATTAGCATATAATTGTCTATGTCAAAAAATATTTTCACATAGGATGACGCATTTTATAAAATTAAGACACTACTAAATAATTACTTAAATAAAGAGTTAATTTTATTTTTGTGAGTTTTAATAGATTTTGAGCCTGATAGATCTAATTATATTTTTAAAAAATTGAGAATTTATTTCATCATTATCTCAATATTTTATACGGAGTACAAATATATAATTTTTTTGAAAGTTATTGACTCTATTACATTGTAATATCTATTCATTTATACTTTTTCAATCTGTTAAAACATAAAGAATCAACACTACCTCCACTAAAATTTGATCTCATAACCTCCCATATGAAAAAGTCACAACATGTCATCTGAGCACAAGGTGTTTGGCAAATATATAATTTAATTTTCTTATTTTTAAACATTCGCACATGCAAAACACAATGCCCGTACGTGCAGTTGGTTTCGCCTTGAAAGCATTTCTGACTTGGGCGTCTCGGGGGTGGGGCCCCCGTTCTGTGTCTAAGCACGTGTTTTTCATTTTGTTAAAAGAAAAAAAAAATCACAAAAAAGAAATAATTAGTATATGACTGATAAACTTACAAAGCAATGCTTTCCTTCACAAAAATGCATCTATTTATTCTCGTATAAGAATATATATACATATAAGTAATCTCGATGATTTCAAGATATATATAATATTTTTATTTTCTTTCTTTTAAAATTATTTTCTGGGAATCGAAGATCGAAGATGAAAAAGGGAGCTAAAAAGGAGAAAAATTTGAAGGTGAAGTTGAACCAGAAGAGCTCCCCAGAAATGGTGAAACAACAGTCCAACACTAGTCCAGGTTTTATTTTATTTTATTTTTTTAACTAAGGAAATTATATTTTACTAACCTTAAATTCTGAAAGGAAAAATATATACTCCAAATATATTAATTTCTTTTTTTTTTACTAATTTTTTTAATGACAGGCGGCTCAGCGATGCAGTGGCCGTTTTCGTATTTTGTTTCTCCGCCACCGGAATTATCGCTTTCCACAGCCCCTCCGCCACAGAATCTTGTCTTTCAGGTTTTTTTTTTTTTTTTTTTTTTTTTTTTTTTAATAATAATTAATTTGACTAAATTTAGTTTAACTTTGTTATGCGTGAATATTAATTAATACGGAGTATATATTTACTTTTGGATAAAATTTTATAAAATTAATGATTCGATAAAAAAAAAAAAAGTCAGAGGTTTGGAAAATCTGCAAATTGCTACGGAGTATTTTTTAAAAAATTTACTGGATGAATCCAGTTAGACGTTTTCTATTTTAGTCAATAATACTTTGACCTCCTTTTTAAAGAATTATTGTTGTTCCTTTGAAGGGATTTTTTTGTTTCTTCTTAAAATGATGTTTTTTTTTTTTTAAGAATACTTTTTTTTTTGAAAGCTACTGGTTCTATTACATTGTAGTATCTGTTCATATACTTTCTCAACCTACTAACACACAAAGAATCAATAACACCTCCACTGAGGCTCGAACTCATTCCAACCTGGGTACCATTAGACCATATAGTCCTGGTTTTTTTTTTTTTTTTTTTTTTTAAAGAATACTTAAAATGATGTTAAACTATGAAATTTTTTACCCACACACACATATATATATATATGTATATGTCTGTATGTATTCATTGGATTAAATAAGAATAGACGCTTAGATAAAAATTATGAACTCATGCTGACCGTTAATCTGGGAACAATCGCATATAAATATATATTTGGTTGATAGGAAGAAAAGAATTAAAACATGTTTCAATTTTTAATTGTTGGACTATGTTGAACATGACAGGACTTTTTAGGGGGAACACTCCCTAGATATGAGCATGATACTCCTAGCAGCTCAAACCAACAGGCTACAGCCCCAATGACCATCTTCTACTCCGGTGGGGTTCATTTTTTTAACCATATCTCCCCACAAAAGGTAACACACATCTTTATCCATTGCTGTACACACATTATATTCTTAACTATTTTTCTCTGATCTGGACCGTTGGTTCACCCTTAACATAATTTGATTGATTTTTTTTTAAAATAATTAGGCTGAGTTGATCATGAAGATGGTTAATCAATCCAAGACTGAGGCCATGAATATTGAAACTATAAACGCTCTAACTGAAACAGAAATTCTAAGTCAAAATATACAAACTCTCGCTCCTCCTCCTCCTCCTGACAATTTTTTCGAATTTTATGGTAAAGGAGGTACAATCCCGCGATCCTTGTTAAAGTTTGTTTTATATAAAATGATCTGAGTACAATGCTTTTCTTCACATTCAATTATATTTAACAAGAAGAATAATAATAATTATTATTATTATTATTGTGATGAATATAATGCAGCATTGGCTATGGCTCGCAAAGCAACCTTGGCCAGATTCTTGGAGAAGCGCAAACACAGGTATCATCATATATAGATGCTGGAAAACATTAATCTTTAATGTTGAGTGTACTAATAAGGTTTAGATGTTATATATTATCAAATCTAATGATTTTTCCTTTTTCCTTAAACTTATTTTTCCATGATTAAAAATGCAGATTGATCTATGCTGGGAGTCCATATAGCCACCCTGTAGGCAAATCATCCAACATTATCTCCCCACAACCACCCAAGAATAATGCATTATTGGAGTTCAATTTTATGCTTCCAGAGGAAGAGGAAACTTCTTCATCAGCTGTCGATTTGGAAAGCAGATGTAGTACAAGTATTTTGTAATTTCTTTTCTTAATATTTATAATCCTAGGATAATATAATACAATATTATTATATTAGTGGAGATCATTATATTGACCCTAAATGGTACTCGTACTACTCCTATTTTGGTATTACAATACTCTGCATTTGTTCTTAGTTTTCATAATTTTGTATTGTGTATTGTATAAATTATAGAACCATTTAATCATCCAACGGGGATATATAATTAAAGATTTTACTTTGGAGTGTTTAGTAAACAGCTAACAAACAACTGTTAGCTGATTGAATTAGTGAATTTGACTAGTTAATAATATTAACTTATTATAAAAAATATTTAATAAATTACTTATTATAAAAAAAATATTTAATAAATTAATTATTAGCTGATAATTGATTACATGTCAAATTACTGTATCAAAAAGCTAATCGAAAAAATCCTTTTGAACAACATTTTAAATTTTAACATTTTGAAGCAATAAGCGATTATAAAAAACTAATTAATCAAACACTCATATTGATTGTTTAATCAAGTCAAACAGCTAATAATGATCAAATAAGCCAAAATTAACTAATAACTAACTATATTAATTATCAAACAGGGCTTTTATATTTCTTGTCATTTAAAAAAAAAAAAAACTTGCATGGAACAAATAAAAAAAAATAAAAATATGGTGGTGTCTCTAACTATGGTAAAAATAAAAATAAATAAATAAATAAAAATGTCTTTACTGCAATCACTGCACTCCCAAGGTAATGTAGATTTTTGGCTAAAATAGTTCCACATACAATAGGGGCTTCATTTGACCGTCTTGGAGTGCTTAATAAGCCAATCAATAACCGCATCTATATTTACAGATTCTTTACAGGAGATCATGTAGCAGCAAACCTCTCTATCCTTGATTGAATCAAGATCCCTGAAACAATGGCATCAAACAATAATGGCTAGAAGAGCGAGGGAGATTAAAAAGGCAGAATACGTAAGTAAATGCTCAAATGCTTACAATTGATCAACCAGTGCCTGCTTGGAAAGAGCTTCCGATTTGTCGATTTTGTTCCCGAGTACAAGCAAGGGGATTCCGGTCAATGAAGGTTTCGTCAAGAGGTCGTGAAGCTCAGTTCGAGATATAGGGACACTATCGCGATCAGCAGCGTCAACCACATACCTGTTTTGCGCCAAGAGATGAAATAAGTTCAACTTAGTTGTACAATGTGTTCCGTTTCAACTAAAAATTTAACCTGATAGCAAAACTGCACATTTATATATATAAAATAACAAATGTATAGTCTCGCTATCAAAGCACATCCTTCAATTTAGTATCAGAAGAAGCAATAAGTGAATCCTGTGGGCTTAATCATCATTATTAATTAATATACCTGCCCTAGATTTTATAGGTAAAAAGGGTATTGATTTGAAGATGTTCACGTGACGAAATAAATAAGAGAAGTAGAGATGAAGGAATTACACTATTGCGGAGACACCGCGACAGTAGCGCTCCCACATGGTGCGAAATCTTCGTTGCCCTCCAAGGTCCCAAAGTTTGATGGTTACATTTCCCTTAGTCACTTTACGCATGTTAAATCCAACCTGGCTTTGAAAAGAATTGTACTAAGAAAACCCGATTCCTAAAACTAAAGATGTGTTATTTGAGTTGTATAATTAGAACAATATACTTACGGTTGGAATCATGTCCTCACTGTAGGCCCCAGTCTGATGGATACAACACCGAAAAATATGTTAAAAAATCGATTAGGATATAAAGGAAAGAACAGGATGTGGATTTGGAGAAAGATGAAATGCACTTACGGCAATGGAATTAACGAGAGATGTCTTCCCTGCATTTTGAAGTCCGACAAGAGATAGTTCCATCTCCTGTTTGAAGAATAGACTGACACGGAGACAAGGAATTCAAAAAACACAGATTAATGTTGTCATTCTTGTTAACATAAATGTAGGAGACAAAAGATATTGCACTGTTTGGTAAAATAGTTAGCCTGTCAGTCAATTTGGCTTGTTTGACCACTATTAGCTGTTTGACTTGGTTAGACAACCAATACGAGTGTTTGATTAATTATCTTTTTCTCACAGCTTATTGCTCCAAAACACTAAAATTCAAAGCAGCTTTTTCAATCAGTTTTTTGAGAAAGTCAATTATATGTAATCAATTATCAACTAACAGCTAATTTACCAAACATTTTTCTATAATCAGCTAATGTTATCAACTAGGTAAACCCACTAACCCAATCAGCTATCAGCTATCAACTATTTACCAAACATCCACCATTATTTTCTTTTGCACCAACAACACTTTGAAGTTTGAACACATATATACACTACAAAAATAAAAGTTAATTAGGTGTTGTTTCAATTAAGGATTCTGTAAACACATTACGGATCACGCCTCGCATATGATACTCAGGCAAGAAGCGTTTAGCTGTCACTCAAACCTATAAAAGAATCAAACGAACACATCTTGCAAAATGATGATTATAGTCCCTTCTTTTTACCTAACAGCCTCTTTTAATGCTAATCCCGAAATGGCTCAAGCAGAGTGCATAAACAACAGAATCGAGCAAGATTTAAGGTTTCATAGACAACATTGTTGGCTTCACCAACTGTTTATAATGTCCATCATCATCATCATCCTAATTCCTAAACAGAGAATGTTGTCACTAATAAACTCATTAAAGATCCTCAAGCTAAGCTAAACCAGAAGATGAAATCAAACAAACATCCCACCAAGCATCAATCATAGTTCATTAAACTACAATCATAGTTCCCTCTTTGAAGTTTTGACAAATACAACATTCATATATTTGAGCGATAAAGCATCAACCACAGAGGTTAAGTTTAACCAAAATTAGTCCAAACAAATTAGCGGCCGACAACATTAGAGCAGAGCTGTGAGCTAAGAAACTATAAATCACCATAGCTAACGCCAAGAAATTTAAAGAAAACAAAAGTTTTTCTTTTTTCTATTTAATTCTCCTTCTGATAAAGCCACAAATTGGGGGGAAAAAAAAAACTATTTGGCTTTCTGCTATTGCTGGGCCGAAAACACCGTAATTAATGAGAAATCAATTAATCTGGAAATTCTTGAAAACAAATATATGAAACAGAAGGAAAAAATATATATACCTGCGAAGCCAGTTGAGAAAAGAGTCCCAGATACCCATTACACAGAAAGATGAGAGCTTTGAATCTTTAATGAAATTAATAAAAATTGTGTGAAAAAAATAAGCGTAGAAATGAGAGAGAGAGTGAGATGAGAATAACAATTGTATGAAGAGAAGTAAAAAGAAAGCTTAGGAAGCTTCGCCGACTCAAACAAGGAAACCCGTGGAGAATCCGACACAACATAAGGTTGAGACTTGAGAGGCTTAGCAAACAGGTGAAACAGGTTTAAGGATTTCGCACAAAACGTGTTCTTTTCTCATAAGTATTACTGAATTTCCATTTCGGCTCCGTACCACTAAACCACAAAATTATTGATAATAAATATTATATATTATACTTCTAATTTTTTATTTTTAATTATGTTAATTTTAAAAAGGTTGATGTTAAAAAAAAAAAAGTTGATGTTTAAACATCTATCATTATCCATCTGGCCTTTACATTATAAAATAAATTACTTATACACGTTCACTTTTAATATATTAAATATTTATTTTTTATGTATTATAAATTAATTTTTAGATAATAATACACTAAAAATACATATTTCAAAAAATCAATCTTTAATATAATAAAATTAAATATGTATGTTAGTTATCAACCTCACAATATAGATCACAATCCACCTTTCAGGTGGATTATTATAATCCACAATAATGATGTAGTTCAGTAGTTAGCGACACAACTCCAAAGATTGTAAAATTGGTATATTGCAATTCGCAAGCATTAAGATTTAGGATCCACTGGACCAATTATGCGAAGTGAGGCCCATGTAAAGAGATGCACTACAGCCCAATTCACTGCTATGGGACTGTTATGTCATGGACACGGGTTCAATACGACGCCGTTCTACAATTCGGGAGTAACGGTGCTTGAATGAATGATAATATTGAATTTAATTATCCATATTGAATCTAATTTTATTTCAAATTTGAATGTTAGTGGCGCCGTTTTTCCTCCACTAATTAGTTTTTTTTTTTAAAAAAAATTTTGTCAAAAGTATTCAACAACATAAAAAATTGTGAATATACTGTTACGTAATTGTGAATATAGAGTTCAATAATTGTGAATATGGAGTTCAAAAATTATGAACATAGAGTTTAGTAATTATGAACATAGACTTCTAGAGTTCAAAAATTATGGACATAGAGTTCTATAATTATGAACATAAAGTTCTGTAATTGTGAATATAGAGTTCAATAATTGTGAATATGAAATTCTAAAATTATGAAAATAGAATTCAAAAATTATGAACATAGAGTTCTATAATTAACATAGAGTTCAGTAATTATGAACATAGACTTCTATAATTGTAAACATAGAGTTTGGGAAGAAAACTGCCGAATATGAAGACAAACGCCATTAACAGCGAAAGAAATTATTATTATTTTTAAAATTGACACGGCATTGTTTTCCACCAAAACGACACCGTTTTGAAACCGTGACCACAACATAATTTGCCTACAAACAGAATTTGGGCCTGTCTATGCATATGCATACTCTAGTTCAAGTACAAACCCAAGCTCATGCTATTTAGCTCATTCGGGCTGTGAAAATTCGGACTAATGGAATACAATAAAAATATTATTTTTGGACCGAACTCGGCGCTGCCACAGGCCCAAAGAAAGTTGGGCTGAATAATAAAATCTCTAGTGAGCAAAGTACTCATAGTGGAATTATTTTGCACAAAGTACCAACCAAGGATGTGTTTCACATTAACTAAACAAATAAATTAATAGTTAATTATACATTTATATTTTTATATTAAATTGAATGCTGTATTTTTTCTCAATTAAAAATCTAAAGTGATAATCGGCCTATACAATTACATTTTATATATTATATAATTTAACACTAATACGAGTAAAAAAAATTGCCTCTTTGAGTTTAAGATGTGTGATTGAAATAATAAATATTGGATGGTCATGTATGTGCATTGAATTGAGTAAGTTATATCTAAATTTTATTCCGAATATTTAAAATTTTAAGTGTTAATTTGTTATATTCAATTTGAATGATAGGAATATTATCAATGGATGATAATAGATAAAATAATATTGGGTGATTGGCCTTCATAATCCTAATAGGACAAGTTTGAATAGTTGATAGTCAAGTTGAAATGGATTGAGGTAGTTGTGAATCCCCATATTCGGTTGTGTGTATGCTATAGGGTTGTGTCAATTGAGCTTAGAATGAGTACATGTAATATTCAATCATATTCAAGTAGTTCTAAGTGTATTTGGATTCACAATTGAAAGGGACTATTAGATGAGTATTTACCTACTGTCATCCCTAATAATATATGTAGAGTAAAAAATAAAAAATAATATTATATGTAGTCATATTAGTGGATATGTAGATATAGTATGAATAACAGTTGTGATGAGATAACAAGTAAATATTGGGTGGTGATAGGATAAGTAGAGATTGAGGAATATAGATCACTCACTTAAGCTGTGTGATAGTACTCGGTTGATTATTAATTGACCGAAAAATTATATTTTGGAGGCACGAATTATGTCGAGTAGCCATGTTCAAAAAAAATTCTTATTCTGCGAATATCGTTGATCGGTTCTTTGATATACTAACCTATATGACGTCGATTTTAATATAATTGACGTTGTATAGTATTCACATTTTTTTAAAAATTCACGATATGACGTTGGTTCAATCATTGAACCGACGTTGTAACTTATTATTAAAAAAAAAAATTAATACTATACGACGCCGGTTCTTCATCGAACCGATGTCGTATAGCTATTAAAAAAAAAATCATTCGCTTATATCTAAAGTAGTAGTGTTCTTCTATACACGAAAAACCTCCGTTGCGCCACCACTCCTCTTCATTCTTCTTCCCAACCGCCTCCTTGCCACCGTCTTCGAACCACCACCTCCCCGCCACGTCGTCACGGCTGCCTCTGAATTGGTTGTCTTCGGTCGTCGTCGCCACCACCCATCTTTCTCCCACTCGCTGTCGCCCCACCATCGCCACCACATTGTAAGATTTATATATTTTTAAATTTTTGTGTTAATTTTTAAATTTTTATGAGTTAAAAATCATTTTAAATATATTTTCAATTATTTGTGTATATATTTTGAATTTTAAGAGTTATTGCGTATTTTAGGAATTATTTTTAATATATTTCTAATTTTAAGAATTATTTTGTATTTTAGAGATTAATATATTTCGAATCTTAAGAACTATTGTGTATTTTAAGAATTATTATTAATTTATTTTGAATTTTAGGAATTAATGTTAATACACTTTGAAATTTAGGAATTATTGTTATTATATTTCAAATTTTAAGAAATATTGGGTATATTAGGAATTATTGTTATTATATTTTGAATTATTTTTAATTTTAGGAATTAATGTTAATATAGTTTGAATTTTAGGAATTATTGGAAATTTAAAGATTATAGTTTAATATATTTTGAATTACTGTAAATAAATAAATAAATATATACTAGCTTATTTATTATTTATCTCAAGTAGTTTAATAAAATATCTTTCTCCTTCAAATTTTTGAAAATACTAGCTTATTTATTATTTATCTCTTTTCAACATTGTAGATTTATGAGAGACAAGGAAGATTGCCTTACATTCAACAAGAGATTGATAAAGTGAGAGATACATGGTCTAAGTTGCTTACTGATGAATGAGTTAATAAAATGCTTCTTTAGTTGATGTTGATCATTTAAGTTTCAAATTATTATATTATTAATTACTATCAATTGTAGAATTTATTAGCTTGACTAATTGTGATAATATTTGTGAGTTTGATTAATTGAGAAATTTATTAGATTATTCAATTGTGAGATTTTGAATGTCAAATTGCTGCATAGATTCTGAAAATTAATGTGAATTGTGAAAATTATACAAATTTTGGTTGAAAATCATAAAATAAATTTAATAATTAAAAAATACAATAAATTAAACGACGCCGGTTTTTAACCAAACCGACGTCGTATTATAATTTAAAAAAAAAAAATAAACGACGTTGGTTTTTTAAATCGTTTATTTTTTTTAAAAAAAATTAAATTAATATACGAGGTCGATTTTTTAAAAAATTTTTAAAATTCAGCAACCAACGTCGTATATTAATTAATTAATCTATTTATTTATTTAAAAAATAAGACATCAATTTTTAGTAAAAAAAAAAAAAAAATAGATGTCGTATGGTGAATTTTAAAAATTGTAAAAATATACGACGCTGGTTTTTACTAAAAACCGACGTCATATGTTGAATTTTAAAAATTTTAAAAATATATATAACATCGGTTTTTATGTAATCGATGTCGTATCTTTTATTTATTACATCTACCAGATCGACGTCGAAAGAAAACCAACGTTAAATATGTAAAAAAAAAAAAAAATTAATGTTAAAAGTGTTATTTGTAGTAATGTTATTAAGATATTAGCTACTGGCGACTGTGGAGTATGGACAAAGTAGTGCGTTCACCATAAATGCTGTGTACAAAGAAGACTTTAAGAATTTGTTATTTAATATGGTTATTTGAATGCTTTTAAATAGTTAATTATATTTTTATTTTTTTTTTCGGTTATAATTAATTATGCGTTCAATAATAAAAGTAATGAATTGATAGTTTTCGTGTATTAATGTTAAATAATTTACCTTACATTAAAAATAATAAAATTTACAATTTTTAAATAATCAATTAATTTTTTTTGAAAGGAATAATCAATTCAATTTAAAATGCTATTGTCATTTTAATTTTTAGTATTGCTTAATATTAACATTTTTAGTTTGTTGCGGATTTCACTAGTCACTTAATAGAAATACTAGTATTGTCTCGTGTGATGCACGGACTAAATATTAAAGATTTGTTTGTAATGTTAGAATAGGTAAAAAAATGTTTTTAATAATGGTATTTGAAGTACAAAAGAAGAAAACATGAACCACAATTTAATTGTTTAAAATTACATTTTTATTAAGTATATGAAAAAATAATTATGATATTGTATTTACAATATTTAATTTAATAATTGAAAATAGTATGATACAAAAAGTTACTATTATTAATCGTAGCTAGCGGTATACATATTTGATCTTGAGTATGTCTACTCCTAATATGCTACCCATGCGATGTACGGAATGAATATTGAACAACATTATAATAATATTATTTATTAAAAAATACATAACCTAATATCATATCAACATAAGTAGCAATTCATATATA